CCTGCGCCTGAAGTTCGAGCCTGGTTCAAAACCCTGGACGCTCTCCACATGTCCACGAGATTCGCTTCCAACGACCGACCATTAGCCGGTCGATTCCCTCATCGTCGCATCCCATCCAAGCGAATGGAGCCTGTTGATACTCCGGTCCCCAAACTACCTCGGAACTTCTACGACCCTACTTGGCTCGAGACACTTGATGACATCGAGCGCGACATCCTCCAGATTCAACCAGCGATTGACCTGAGGTTTTCTCCTCAAATTTCGTTGTATGTTTTTTCCTTTATTTCCATTTATTTGGGGTCACATTTTCTCCCAGCATTGCCGCTCGGTTTTTCAACGTTAAATCGCGTCATGACAGCCCTGTGCGACGCGACGATCCTTCACTTCCCGTGTTGCCCAGAAACCGACCTGTTGTTGGACCCCGGACCAACTCCAACTACTCCTAATTTCGATACCCACATGCCTCGGGCGCACCATGCTTTTAATGCTCGCTTCCTTACATATTTGACTTTGCGTGGAATGCGTTGAAAATATAATACAAAATATATCTATGATTTTTTCCCCTTGCGCGACTAATAACTATGGCGGGAACGTGCTCTTTGGTAATGCTTCAAGTTTAATTTGTAACTGCTCAGTCAAAGATAGTTTTCGATGTGGACGACTGAGTTTTGATGACTCCCATCCCTAGGACCCTATACCCCAAACCTTGACTTTCTCTATACCTTACAGCTACACAACGGTCACTAATATCCACTTAAATGGAGGCCCATCGGACATAATCACATCTAAGGGAAGCCTTACGCTTCCCGTGCGTCTTAGTACTAGACTACTTATTGCACGTAAATTTCGAGAATCCAAAAAAAAAAAAAAAAAAAAAGACTGAGTTTTGATTCCCCAAGGAGGTTGCGATGCGTGACCGTGGACGCCGCTACGTGCCTCCTCATGATCAGAGTCGCAGCTGCAAGGTTCGCCCAAACGTTATTATCAAGAACCACATCGAAGGTTCCGACCCTCTCAAGCGCTACTTCGACGGGACAAAGATCTCGATAACGGAGACTGGCTACACAGGCTGAGAGGCCAGAAGTCGGACACAGAGTATTGCAGTCGCTCAAGAAAGTTTGATGAACTGGAGGGAAGTAGGCAGACGGCGTCATCTGGATCTCTGCGTCAATTGGATCCATGGGTTCTGGTTGAGGTGAGCTGGGAAAAGCATCTCAATCCCCGAGTTTTAATAATACAGTTCTTTCCCCCCAGAAATCATGCAACTTGGGCACAGGGGCGAATTCGCGCTTTTCCCAACACATCATCTCTGTCTTCCTTCTTGGATACCTTGGACACTGAGCGAATTCGCGCTTTGTCTTGGGTAGGAAGGCCTCCATGATACCAGCATCCATACCTGTTCTCATCGGTCTTCCACGGATCATGCACCTGAACTATTCTTCGTGATCAGAAGATTGTCTTTTCTCCCAGCATGTTTAGAGACATGCTTCGCCCCTGGGCTGTAACTCAATCTGTTAGATGAACCAGGACAGTGCCTCCGTGACGTCAGGCAGT